TAGGGAAAAGACCAATGTTCCACTTTTATTGTTTCAGGGCAAGCTGCCTAGCTGGCTCTACAAACATTGTCAGACTGAGACAGTATGCTCCCACCAAGTAGAAAGCATTATATTATATTAATTATATTATATTTATTATAATAAAAAAGATGCAATCTTTAGTGTGGTCTTAGCATTACTACATGGCCCTGCAAAGCAAGGTGCTAATGCAGAATTCCAATCTAACCTTGCCCCAAATTTTAGGAGAGTTCCGCGCCAAATCTGAACTTCATGGTTTTAATGCACTGATAAAATACAAAAAACCAGTCAATATAAGAGTGGCTGAGAGGAATCAGTCCAGACAGAAGTGCAAGAATGATCAGGGGTCCTGGCTGCTGGGAGCTAGTACCAGAATGTTCAAGAAGCCTTATAACAGGATTATTAGTAGCCAACCTACAGGGCAGCTTTCTTCCTAGCCCCAGGCAGTTAAGGCTGACTGACCCCTGAAGTACAAAAATTAGCCCTTATACTTTTTAATTTTGGTTTATGTCTCTGTGGATGTTCTCACAATCTGTATTGGATTCTTGGACTCGACGATAGCTCATGGCAGTGAATTCCACAGGCTAATGCTGTGCTGAGTAGAATGTATGAACTTCTAGCTATTTTTATTTTTGTTACCTTTCAACTTAACTGAATATTGGAATTGAAAAAGTTTCAGAAAAGGGCAACAAAATTATTAGAGGTATAGAACAGCTTGCATATCAGCAGAAGTTAATCAGACTGGGACTTTTCAGATTGGAAAAGAGATGGCTAAGAGGAGATAAGATAGAGATCTATAAAATCATAACTGGTGTGAAGAAAGTACATAAGGACGTGTTATTTAGTCTTCATAACTTAAAAGTGAGGGGTCATCAAATGAAATTAATAGAAAGCAGGTTAAAAATAAATAAAAGGAAGTATTTTTTCACATAATGCACAATCAGCCTGTGGACCTCCTTGCCAGGAGCTGTTGATAAGCATATTATAAGATTTAAAAAAGAACTAGATAAATAGAGCCCTGCATGGATCTAAATTTATACCAGTGGTTACAGATATCATCTGATATGGCTGTACTGCCCCTCCCCCCCCAACTCACCTACTGTAGTGGGCCCCAGCCTCACCTGCATGCCTCTGGACAGGAGATACAGGCAGCTGAAAGAATAGGACAGGTCTGGAGTAGTGGCTTGGGAAGGTGCAGCCATACTACAAAGGAGCAGCAGCTCCACATTCTGTTCCTTTCTCTGCTAGAGATGTTACATTTAGTTTAATGAACTGATCAACTAATTGATGGAATTTCCATTGATTAGTTGATAAGCGGGGGACCTGCAGTGGGGTTAGCTACTGGCCCCAAGAGATAATATTTAAAAGGCAGAACTGCAGTGGGGTTAAGAGCTGGCAGGCTCTTAATACACTTAAAAAGGCTGAAGTGCAGCGAGGGGGGGAGGAGGGGCCGACCTGGTGTGAGCTAGGAATCGGTTGTCCTGGCTTGCGCCAGGTCCCTCCACCACTGCACTTCTTTTTAAATGTATTACAAGCCAGCAGGCTCTTAATACGTTTTAAAAGCAGAAGCACAGCATCCTGGGACTGGGCGTGAGCCAGTGGTCAGCTGATTCCTGGCTCGTGCCCAGTCCCCGCTACCCCCCTGCCTTCCACAGAGCTGGAGCTTTTAAGCCAGTCCCCCCCCCCACCCCCCGGTCCTGCTGCCTCTGATAGAGACAGCAAGGGGCGGGGGAAGTGACTAGTTGATTACATCCCTATTCTTTGCTGTGATTCTTGGGGGAGCCCCCACATTTCTGTGGATACTAATCTATATCCATGGATATCCACATCCATGGATATAAATTTGTACCCACACAGGGCTCCATAGATAAGTTCATGGAGGATAGGTCCATCAATGACTATTAGCGAAGATGGGCAGGAATGGTGTCCCTAGTCTCTGTTTGCCAGAAGCTGGGAATGGGTGGACAGGGAATGGATCATTTGATGGATACCTGTTCTGTTCTCTGGGGCACCTGGAATTAGCCACTGTTGGAAGACAGGATACTGGGTTAGCTGCACCTGTTGTCTGACTCAGTATGGCTGCTGTTCTGTTCTTATTTCCTCCTTCTTGTAGTATGCAAAGAAGTAACTAGGGAAACATGATCTACTATTCTATATACATGACAGGAGTGAGTTGGTGTGAGTTCCATCATCTCTGCACACCGATTAATGAAACAGGCGTATCCATTTTTTAACTTTGATGTTTTCTTCTGGCATGTCCAGCTCATAGGAATTATAATGACGATGATGATGGCAATTAGTGTGCTATTCAAAAGTAGAGCCCTATCACTGCACCGGAATGAGTAAGAATCATGACTGAAATGGCACCATGCATTGGATCGTTCTCTGCTGTTAAGACACTTTGGGAAGTGAGAATTCAGAAAATAAATGAAGAACTACGGAAGGAGAAGGAATTCAGACAGAGGGCTATAGGCAGGTATGTTCCTAAGAAAAATGTTAGGAAGAAATGTGAAACTAAACATAGGAGATTATGGTTGGTCTTTTCTGGAACATTCAGATTCCAATCCTATAATCTTTGCTTAGGCAAAATTCCTATTGAAAGGAATCTGTAGACTCAAGTCAACCAGAGAATTAAGATCAACTGTAAATAGAAACTAGTGCACCTATTAATTCTACTGGTGAATATATATCAAATTACAGCAGTGTCTTTAGAGCTGCAGTAGTGTAAAATACATTCGTCATGTTTTTATAGCATGTTTTGTTGCCTTCCATTTAGAAACAGTCTCTACTTAATAGCCACCATTATTTTGATATCTTTACTGCTTAGCCTATGACTGGCAAGAACTTTACTTGAATTCAATCTACCTTCGTACAGATGGGTGGTGTGGATGAAGTTGCTGCTTGGGGCAGCAAGCTCCACAACCTATGGCCCAATCCATTGTCTTTCCCTGCTCTGCCCCACCCCATCGCCAGTGTCTCTCAAATCATAGACATGGTTGTAAAGAAGTCCACTCTCCTTTGTTTGTGACCAGCTTGCTGTCCCTGTAGGCATAATCTGTGTTACAGCACCTAGAGGCTGTAGAAGTGAAAAGACTAAAGAATTTAGTGCTTCTCTCACCCCTGAAAGACTACAAATTTCCCTTATAATGAATTATTTGTTGGACAGTCCCCTTGTATCAGTGGTTCTCAAACTTTTTGGACTACAGCCTACCCCATTCAATGCAAATCTTTCCACAGACCACCAGCCAACCACCCTGATGACAAAATGGATGCAAAAGCAGGCTGGGGATGGGCGATCAAGCCAGGAGGTTGGGTGCAGAAGTGGGCTGAGGGTGCAGAGTCTCTGTGTGTGTGTAAGGGGGGTGAGAGTGTGGGGTATGACATCAGGGAGATGGGGGAAGCATTTAGGTGGCTCCACACACCTCCAGGCACTGCCCCCTGCTGTTCCCATTGGTTGGGATTCCAGCCAATGGGAGCTGTGGGTAAGCCTTCAGGTGAGCAGTTTTCTGTGTTGCCATTCCTCAAGCCAGTGGGAAAGGGAACAACAGCATCTGGAGCCACTTCCTGCCCCCCGCGAGTTGGATCTGACCTATGAGGCTTGGGGGCTCACTCTAACCAGCAGGTAGCCAGTGCTGGTACTTCAACCACTTGGGCCTGCTCTGAGTTTGCGGCCCACCTGCAAGACAGTCACAGACCACTAGTGGTCCGTGGACTACTTTGAGAGCCAGTGCCTTATATTATTTCCCCCATCCCTGCTGTTTGTGGTGAAACAGTATCAAACTTGATGGAAGAATTTAGTTTCTCTCTATAAAATATTTTACTTTATGCAGAGTTTAAAATACAAACCCACAGAATTGCAAAGTATTTTTATGTTACCCAGAACATTAGAATTCTCTAAGCCAATGAACTGCTACATTTCCTGCCCTCCCAAAGGGTATCTAGCATCCTCTGAAGATAAATACTTGTCTGACCTCCATAATGGCTTCTTGCCAAAAAAGTTGCCTCTTTGCTACGTCAGGCAATCAAAATGGCATAGTAAATGTTGCTCATATTAATAGCTGCACAACTAAAAAGAGTTCTTTGTCCTGTAGACTGACACTTGAATGGGAAGAAAGAGTCAATTTAGCCAAGCTCAAAGAAAAAGTCATCACTGAAGCTGGAAGGGTTATATTAAAGATAGAACAAGAAGAATGGAAGGTAATATTAACAGGAAATTGGGTTGCATGGTTAGAGAATAACAAAATTAAGTATTACTTTTCATCTATTAGTACCCACAGTATGCTCAGCACTCTGCAGACATGATCAGAGATGAATTATTGCTTTGAATGTAAATAAAACCCGATTGTACTGAAATTAAACATGCTTACTATAACAGTATACTGTTGAATGCTAAGTAATTTCACCACTAACCCACAGTCCAAAAAGTCTTCTCACATGAACAGAACAACGTAATGGTATTTTATGTCTTGTGTCTTTAATCCAACAAGTATTAATTTTGCTACTGCCCCAGAACTGTACAGACATATGTTGTAATGTGCTGTAAACAAAATGAAAAGATTTCTTAGGGTTATTTCTCTTCTCTTTCTGAAGGTGGCAGAGAAGCTCTCAGAACAGGGTGATTTCAGTACATGGGACATGGCTCTGCCACTCCCTGCTGGTTGTTGAACTGGCTTTTTGCTAGGTCCAATGTCCACCATGAATGAGAAGTTGAAGACAAGATGCCTGCTTTTTCTTTTAAGTCATTTTCCTTTTAAGTCATTGGGAATCTTTCCATTGCCATTGATGGGAGCTGAATCAGATACAGCCTGGTGAAGGTGTGACTTCAACTTACAGTGTAACAGTCATAGCTACACCAGTCGAGGGAGGTGATGTGTCTTACACAGCAGTTTGGGGCAGACTTAATTCTCTACAAACTGCAAGTCCTCTGTTCCACACAAACCCTGTATAATATATTACCACGTACTAAATCTACTCTATAATAATTTTATAGCAAGCAATTGTTTATGAATGCTGTATCATTTGGGATGGTATAGATAGGTCTTTTGTTAATATAAACATGCATTCTATAGTGCAGTTACCTAACATTGTCCTTTTGTTCTGAACAAATGTTATAAAATTCACATGGCAGACATTAATAATCATTTGAGTTCAAACATTTTTGTTTATTTTGATTCTGGGATCTTGCATTGATGAGACTTAGCATCAAGTTTACCGGAGCAGTTGACAAAAGCTTCCCTTGTCGACCGCGCCGCGTCTAGACTGCCGCGCTGTGCTGCATCAGCTGATTGTCGGCACTGTGCGGCAGCCCTTTTTATTTTAATGAAGCAGGGATTATTTAAATCCCCGTTTCTTTGACTATGCCTAGTAAACTATTTTACATGACTCCGTCGACTGAGCCATGTAATCTAGACGTACCCCGGAGAAAAGAGAAGGGCTGGTTATTCCTGAGGTGTAATGGGAGTTAATTTCTACATGTTGTATGCTGTAGTGATCAGAAAAACAAAACTGTTTCCTTCCTCTCTAGTGTAAACATCCATGTTTTCAAAATCGTACTAAACTAACAGCGCATTTTCATTCAATAATCAAATGGGATTTCCTTCTGATTTTATTTTTTTATTTTTAGATGTTACCTTCTTGCTTACTCAAACTGAACCACCTCCAGGAATGGCAGATTCACAGAACTAATTTGGTGAAAATTCCTGAATTCATTGGAAGGTTTCAAAATCTCATTGTGCTGGACCTATCCCGAAATGCCATTGAAAAGCTACCAAAAGAGATTGGTGAGTGGTATTTAAAAACAAAAACAACTCTTCTGTATTACTCACTAGGAGCACTCATCAGGATTAAGCAGCCACCACACCCAATCCCATAATTTTCATTATCTACAACCTTATTTTCAATAAGCAGACCAAGAACACTTATACTATGGTGAGCCAACACAATGCAGTTTAACATCAGTATATCACAGCTAAACAGTTCAATTTATTCTTCAGACTCAAATATTCAGGTGTATTCTCTTTGATTATTACCATTGCAGGCCAGCTACCTAACCTCCAAGAGCTGCTTCTCAGTTATAATAAAATTAAGTCTGTTCCCAAAGAGCTAAGTAACTGCATCAGCCTGAGAAGACTGGAACTGGCTGTCAACAGGGATATCTGTGACCTTCCACTTCAGGTCTGAGAAAAACAATTACTTTTATTTATAGGTGTATAGTAAATGTTTTCACTAGCCAAAAAATATTCTCAGGAAAGAACTGAACTTGGACTTTAAAATGTCATTGCATTTCTACTGGAAAGTCTTGCATTACCTGTTTAATGGGTTGTATTCACTTTATTTTTAAGATTTTGATTTTACAGATATTTAACACGTGCATAAACTATGTTTACATGAATAGTCCCATTGGAGTCAATGGGATTAACCACGTCAGTAACTTTGCAGGGATTAAGCCTAATTTTGCCTATGTTTACAGGGGAGCATATGGCAAATGCTTAGCAAGGGTAAACTGGCATCAAACCATTAGTTTTAATTGGACTACCCTGTTTTATACCAGCTGAGGATCTGGCTCACTGGCTCAACTGTGACCTTAGTAAAGTCACCTGTAAAGGATGAGTACATAGTTCAGAGTGGCCAAATTGCAAGCCACAAGTGGTTCTTTTACAGTTAGGTTACTGCTATACTATGCCTTTTTCTGCAAGAGGCAATGTAAACGAAGCGCAGATTAGCATTTTCCCATGCTTCATTTGCATACTCTCTTTTGTTCTGTTTTTGTGCTGGGGGGTTTTGCGCAAAAACAGGCAGTGTGGCTGTGGCCTTTTGCGCAAAGTGGAGACGCATAAGGATCGTGTGGAAAAAGGGGTCTTTGTGCAAAATGGCCACGGCTAATCCTTGCTTCATTTGCATTGCCTCTTGTGGAAAAAGTCAGTGTAGACAAAGCCTTTAAGATTGGCTCATGGAAATTCTCTCCTCCATTCTCTGGAGTTTGGGCTTCTGCCCAGTGGCAAGGTGGTGAGGGAGGGGCTTCTGCCTCATGAGGCATGCCTACCAGTACTCCCAAGTTTCAGCAGCAGCAGAGCTGAAGCCCCAAGCCTCAGCAGGACACCACATCTCTCAACGGTTGTTGTGTGTTGCTTGGAGGTTAGTGGGTTTGGTCGCCCAGGCATAATTCATTCACTCCCTCTTCAGTTGTTGGTCTCCCTACAAAGAATGCTGCTTGTGATTATGGTTTGTGTGGTGCAGACACAGAACAGCTCAGAGTAATAACTTTTGCTTTCCACTTACTTCAGCTGACTCATAACTGATTAAATATATATAAAAAGGGGTCCATTATCTCCATAGCAGTCCCTTGGCTACGAAGTAACCAAATACTTGTATTTATTTATTTGCATTACAAAAATCACAACCCTGACAGTTATTAAAGTAACTTTAATCCCCGCAGACTTCACTGGAGACTGAGTATGCTCAATGCCTTGCAAGTCCAAACATTCAGTCTGTAAAATCCACTGGGAAGCTTTAAAATAAATATAAAATATTAACTGAATAGCCAAAGTTACCAAATCCATCTGGTTGTTGTTTAACTAGCACAGTTAGCAATATTCTATGAGGTCAAATGCATATTTCCTGACTAAAATAAATTCTAAGACGCTAGACCAGAATCTTATTTTACTAAAGTCCCTTTACATCAGAGGAGTAATAGTGTAAATGAGATTCTGGCCCTCATTCTTATTTCATACAACCCAGAATCATTTGTCTGGCATGGATTCTACTATTCCAGAACATGTTATAGTGTTTTTAGAATTTTTCAGATTTGTGGCCAAGATGGTTAAATTGCAGCTGTGACAGAACATCACTTACTGCGCCATCTAATACAAATGTGCATTAAAGAATTATACTAATGAGCCTTCCCTTTTCTACTTAGCTCAGTGATCTAAAGAAGCTTTACCATGTAGATCTGAGTATGAACCAGTTTACTGCCATCCCTTCAGCTCTCCTGAACATGCCAAGTCTAGAATGGCTAGACATGGGGAGCAACAAACTTCAGCAACTCCCCGATACCATTGACAGGTAAAAAAAAAAAAAGACCCCCAAAACCAAATACTTCTTAGTTTTAATTCTATGCACTGAAAATCTAATTACCCAATTCTGTTCTAAAGTTAACAAAATAAAGTAAGCTACTTAATAGTGTGCTGCTTATTTTTAAATGGAATCATCTACTTATACTATTAAAATAATTGGAATATCCCAAAGCAAAATATTTCACTGTGAGAACTATTTTTTTTGTTCAGAAGGAAAATTGCTTGCAACTGAGTTGATAATTATTAAGAGATTACATTCCTGTTGTCAAATCAAATCTTGCTGTAGAAATGTTCAACTTGGCCATGTCATAGGGTGACACCATTGAACATGCACATGAGCCAAGGATGCAGATGCCAAAATCTGCATCCCTTAAAACTTAATCATCCCACTAGTTAAACTTACAAAGTACAAGTCAGACATAGGAACAGTTTTAAGAAGCAATATAAATAATGTGCAGATAAAATCTACAGAATTTAATTAATCAAATGACATCTCCCTTACCTTTCTGTCATTAACTTGCCCACAGAATACACGTTCCCAGACTGTTAAAGAGTTGCTGCATTCTTTAGATCAGAAAAATGACTGTTGAAGTGAATCATGTCCTTTAAATGAATGAAAAAACTTTAAAAACGAATGAATAGTTCTGTAGTACCTTACAGATGAACAAAAAATATAGATGGCATCATGAGCTTTCATGGGCACAACCCATTTCTTCAGCTGAATTAAATTTAAGAGGTCCAGGTTCCAAATAAATAGCAGAGAAAAAGAAAGAATCTGGACCCTAGAAATGAACCTGGGAACCTGGACCCCTTAAACTCCGTTCATCTGAAGCAGTGGGTTGTGCCCACGAAAGTTCATACCATCTACATTTTTGTTCGTCTCTAAGGTGCTGCAGGACTATTAGTTGTTTTTAAAGATATTTCTATTACAGACTAACACGGCTACCCTGCTGAAACTTTTAAATCAATGGTTATTTATCAAGTATTTCCTAGTGCTGGATTAAATATAGAAACCTCTATTTCTACAGAATGGAGAACCTACATACTTTATGGCTCCAACGGAATGAAATAACCTATTTACCAGAAACCATCAGTAATATGAAAAATCTGAACACTCTTGTTCTCACCAACAACAAACTTCGGGATATTCCTGCTTGCATGCAACAAATGACAAATCTCAGGTAAAATATCAATAATATTGCAGGTACCTGAATCCCCTCCATCATATGGTGCACAATGTTGCATAATAAAGAAGAGATAGGAGCCAGATCCTCAGCTGGCGTGAAGTGGTATAGCCCCATTGAACTCAATGAAATTACAAATTTATGCTAGGAAGGACTTTGGTCCAGAAAGTTATGTGACGGTATTGAGTTATTTCATTTCACAAAATGGATAAATTGAAAATGTGGATTAGGGTCCCAAAAAGTTAAGGGAATGTTTAGGTTCTTCCTGATCTGTGGGGATTGTGGACACTGGCTTTCAGTGGAATATTTGGGTATCATTATTTTAGGCTCTATCATAAACCCAAGAACAGGGGCAAAAATTGAAAAGCAATAACTAAAAACACATAAAAGGAGAACTTTTTATAAAATGTATATTTCACTTGGGGTATTCAATGCCACAAGGTATGAGTGTGGTCAAGAACCTAGAACCCTTCAAAAAAGGATTGGATATTAGGATATGAATAATGAAAATATTCATTTATATTTGATAAAAATGTATGAGTTAAATCTTAATGCTTCAGTACAAACTAACCAGGAAGTGACAGGGAAAAACTTTTGAATCCTTATGGGCAGATTCTTTTACTTTTCACTAAGGCAGGATTCTTGCTGCTTTCTCTTAAGTACTTGGTATTAGCCATTTTCAGAGGCAGGATGCCAGACTGAACCTGAAGAGCTACTCAACACGCGTCCCATGGGTTACATGCGGCCTGTTTTTTTTGCGGCCTGAGGTGCAGTTTGGGTTTATGCGGGGCTCAACATGCGGCCTGTGGGTGAGAGCTAAAACAAAAAAGTAGTCATTATAATGGTCTTTTGTTGATATGGGTTTTAGTAGTTAAATTCCTGAACTGTCATTGCTCATTAAAAGTATGGGTGGAAATTGGGTAAATATTGCATTTTATTAATATCAGCAGAACTGACTTAAATGGGGCCTGTGTGTTGTGTAGTCTTGCCTTAATCTTTGTATTCATGCATGTCTGTGTGAAAGAAGCTATTTGCATATGTATTTGCATGTATATGCAACCACACTTAAGTTGCGGCCCTCGGAATGTGCTGTGAATAACATTGTGGGCCCCAGCGCTACCAAAGTTGAGTAGCCCTGATGTAGGGTGTTATACCAAGCTTGCCTATATGTACTTGTGTAAACACTGCTTGAACTACCATGATAAATCAGCAGTGCAGCCAGGTCTCAAGATAGCCAGTCAAGTACACACCCATGTGCTCTGATCTAGTATGGCAATTCCTGTTTTCTAATTATTTGTAGATGTTGTTATAGCTAGGGATTCATAAACTCTGCAACAGATAATTTTATTATCAAAAACAAAACATGTTATGTGCAATAGCTCTATTGAGGAGGGAGGGATAGCTCAGTGGTTTGAGCTAACCCCAGGGTTGTGAGTTCAATCCTTGCAGAGGTCATTTAGGAATTTGGGGCAAAAATTTGTCAGGGATGGTACTTGGTCCTGGTGTGAAGGCAGGGGACTGGACTTGATGACCTTTTAAGATCCCTTCCAGTTCCAGGAGATAGATTTAAATTAATGGAGATTGCCTAAGTTAACTATTGTTCTGGTTTCAGAATAAACATCTGTTTTTATATCTTGTTGTCAAAGTATAACAAAAATGTATAACATTATCTTACTGTGCAGTACAAACATGTATTTAAACATAGGGATAGTAAGAACATCTCAGTTTGAGATCCCAAGTTTTCTTGAATTGGCTTTGGCGTTGATCACAGGTATTAAGACCTAAATTTTCAAGTGTGTGCACAAACTATTAAACATGATAGTGATTCTATGTTAAACTGTACGAACTACAAGTGTGACATAGGAACCATTTTAAGAAGTGATACACTGTTCAGATAAAGACTCTCTAAGTCAGTTAAAACAAACACATACCACAATATCATTAAGTATAGAAACTACCTGAAAGATAGTATCCTGAGAAATTACCCTTTGTTATATGTTCTTTTGCTGATGCACTGCTCAATGCAGCCCTATTTAGTTTTCAAACAGTTGTTCTCTTATGGGATACAAGATTTCCCAAAGTAATGTTTTCTGATGAATTACCAGATTTGTCAACTTCAGAGACAACCCACTGGAGCTGCAAGTAAATCTTCCCCCATGTGAGAATCCTGAAGAGGAGGAGGAACAGGAACTATTTGGTATTCAGTTTATGCATATGTATATTCAAGAGTCACTCAGCAGAGCAGGTATGAAATTTGTATTGTCCATAAATAGAGTATGAATACAAAATATTACAAAGCATGACAATGCTGGTAAATCATGAAGAATTAGGGTGTCTACACTGGAGCTGGAAGGTGTGAATTCCAGTTTGAGGAGAGACAGCTGAGTGAGCATGCTAAAAACAGAAATGTGGGTACACCTTAATATGATCAGGTCTAAGACCATAGATAATATACTTGACCGAAAAGCCTCTCCTGTCATGTGTTTCACTGCAGTGACACTTCTATTTCTAGCTCACTAGCACAATCACAGCTAGCATGGATACATCTCCTCAAGCTGAAAGCTAGACCTTTCGGCACCACTGTACACATACCCTTTGGCTAGAGGAGTGTGGGTCCTTTCCTCTCTTTGCCTGGGGGGAGCTTAACAGCCCCTTCATTCTTGGATGTGCTGTGAAGACCAATGACATAAGGGACACTGAAGAGGGAGCAGCAGGAGGAACTGATGCTTTTCCCATAGGCTATGTCTTCACCGCGAGCTCTTCTGGCAGAAAATGTGCTAATGAGAGGCTCATTAGCATAAGTTTCAATCTCATTAGCATATTTTCTGACATTTCTTTTTGCGCAAGGAGTTTTTACGTTGGTTTTATTTGCGCAAAAGCCCGATTTTGCGCAAGATCATTATGCCTGTCCTGGAGAGGCATAAGCATAAGTCCTCATTAGCATATTTTCTGCAGGAAGAACTCACAGTGAAGACGTAGCCATAGAGTTTCCACCAGTAGTTGGAAAAGCACCAATTTGGGGAAATTTGAGGTGTTTCCAGGAAGATCCAGTCATCCAAGTGAAATACATTTGCTATTTCACTCTGCTTCCAGCCTTATGATAAAGTACACCAACTAGCGCTGTTTGCTGAGAGATAAGGACTGGACAGTGAATTATCTATAGAAGCTGTAAATGAAGGTCAGGATTGAGTTATCTTAGTAGCACATCATTAGTCAGTGTCCCTTTATTGTGTCTATTATGTGAACAGCAAATTTCCTCAACAGAGGGTATCAATATTTCATCTCATGAAATTAACCCATTTATTATAAAAATTGAAAAATAAATTGCTAAAATAATGAAGTTTACTTGAAAAAATCATGTCAATTTTAGCTTTTATTTCTCTCCATGTCAAAAGCTTTATGGATGGGAATGTAATTACTAAAACAATGAGGCGGCATTTGATTTCCAGCTAAATGTTTTTCTGCAGCCAATTTCACAGTTAGAATTCATGAAATGAAATTATAGGCATAGAAAACAAAATAAAAACACTCATGATGTTCAGAATGGAGACTGGTTATTAAGCATATAAATTTCTTACATTTTAACTTATTGTCTTTCAGAAAACCTGGAAAACTGTACACCTGTTGCTTCAGCCACCACTAATAATAATGAATAAAATAATTAACCTGCCAAACTGAGCTTTTGTAATTGGAGAAAAACAAATTCTACTTCTGAACAGAGAAAATGCTTTTGTAGGTACAGAAAGACTAAATTTATTTTGTAAAAGTACTGGATCGGTGAATAAGGTTTTTAAAATATCCAGGTGTTTTGTAGAGTTCTGTATCCTGCTCATTCCAAATCTGTCTCCTATTACATAGTTGGTTGGAGTACTGAACATTGACTTGGTTTAGCTGTCAAGAGTACATTCTCCAAGGAAACAGTAGAATCTGTATAGTACTGTAATTCAGCATTGTACCCTCTTTGTTGTAAATATCTGATCCGTCCATGGTCAATCAAGAGTTTACAAAGATGGCCGATCTGCTTTCGTTCTTCAACAGTAAGTAGCCTAGCTCCAAAACAAAAAAACACATGAATTAGTCTAACACAAATGGTTCAAGATCAGAAAACTATAAAAACTGTAACTGATGCACTTCAGTGCAGATAAAATGTGACTATTTTGGAATAAGATTTTGAAGCCTATTATGTCATTTTAATGTTAATGTTTTTCATTTTAAGTAAAAAAAATACAGATGGGCATGTTTCTGTAAAATGAGACATCCTGACATCTAGTCTTTCAGCTATAAATGACTAATCAATTATTTCTACCTTCCTGGAGACTTCGACATGTTACCAAAAAATAAATAAAATAAAATAAATATCACCTACCCTTGCAGACTATCAAGACTGCATTCAATTCTGTTGGGTGCTTGCTCATGGTCTTCTGTATCACTGCTATGGTCTTTGCTCTTTGCATCAATGGTAGAGGCTTCAGTGATGGTTTCTCGCATGCCACAAGTGGCCCAACTACTCATTCTCTGAAAATAATTGAATTCCACTGGCCCAAGTCCCACTGTTCTAAAGAACTCTTGGCCAACATAATGCTTCCACTGACACCTGTGATGGCAACAGAGTGCAATAACAATTCCAGCCACAGGCTTCCAGTTTTCTGTAACATTCTTTCCACTCCTTTTATCAGCAGAACTGTTAAAAGCTATGTCTGTTTTATCACTCCTGAAACGTTTAGGAGAAGGTTCTTCATTTATTTCATTACATTGGGTTGCATAACTTTCAATCAAACATCTCAGAGCAAGATCTGTGAACAAATAGCTATGTTTTAAGAAGTTTTCAAACAGGATACTACATTTATACTGGACATACAGGAAAGAAACTTTCCTCAAAAATAAGGGGAGCATAAAAGCATTATACAAAGTAATTGTAAAAACAACAAGTTGATGAAATGTACTAAAATACTGACAGTTACTTTAAAATGAGATACATTTATATATTTCAAGTTCAGTTTACCAAATATTAATGAACTTACAAAATCAGAATAAGACCGTGGAGACACTCTGTACCTCTAAAATAGCACCCTGGAGACCCCATATTCACTAATATTAATAAAATTATGACACGTTTTGTGAAATTCATGCCTTGTGAGTTATTTTAAGTCTTGATCTGTTGTACACTGATATCTTATTTGGATTGTATGTACTATCATTTTATGTGAAGTTATGAAGTATTGATATATGTACTACTGAACTATATTATGAAGTTAGGAGATGCCAAAAGCTGGCCTTTCAGTATGGACAAAGGATCAACAATCACAGGCCAGGCAGGCATTAATGGTTCATCTGGAAGAATCCAATATCACAGAGGCTTCTCAGAAAAGGCACATACATAGTGGATTTTCTAGCAGCTGGAGGAAGGTACAAAAAGGGAGATAGTGACATCACCACTTGGCCTCACCCCCCCTCTAAATCTCAACACTTGGGAAATCATCTGGAAGACAAAGACTTTGAACTAGAAATTGAATGGAAGGGATTGCAGTATGTGCACTGAGGAACTGTAAGCTTCCTGCAACATCTGTTGGGGTAAGAAACTGTTCACTTAAAATTTCATTTAATCTGTTAAAGTTAGAATTTAGATTGTTTTTATTTCCTAAATAACCAACTTTGATCTCTATGCCTGCTACTTGGTCACTTAATCTACCTTTCTGTAGTTAATGTGTTTTTGGTTAAGTATAAGCAAGGGCTATTGCATGTCCACTACCCTCTTGTTGGAGTGGCGAACTTATGAACTGGCTTTCACTATCCAAAGGAACCTTGAGTAGTGTACGGGAGATTGAGGTGCAAGGCTAAGAGCTGAACTGATTGGTGCATTTCTGTATGATTCATGAGGGGCTTAGAGAGCATAATACATCTGGGTGTAGGGAGTCACATGCTGATGGTTGAGAGATCACAATGACTGAAGGGGTGTTGCTGCTTGTTGCTGATACAAGAGAACCCAGAGAGAGAACCCAGGCAGGTGACACTATGGTCCCGTGATTCTAGGTTCTACTCTGAGAACCCTGTCACAATCACCTAACCTGCTAGTGGTCAATATTCTTGAGAATATTTGTTCAGCATCTTCCTGGCCTTTTTATTACAAAAGGATGTTTATGTAGAAGTTGGATCGTATACTTTTATCCTCCATCAATTTATAGGCCTAAACTCTATAATCTGGTCTTTCCTTGCTTGGCAACATCTGTGGTTCGGCATCTATGAGTGCTCCAGGACAGAAGCACTCACCGGGGAAAAACTGGGAGCCCCAGGCTCAGTAACTCCTCCCCCAGCCTCCCAGTGGTTCCAGCGCTCTGCTAATAGCTGATTTGCAGCTTTCAAGCTCAAGGAAGTTGAGAGAAAAATGGGGGAGGGGGACATTCAGGGATAGGGCAACCGCCCTTCTTCTTTCCCTGCCCCCTGTCTCTGCCTTTTCAATGCCAGCCCCTCTTCTGCCACCAGTGGAGTCCCGCAGCCAGCAGCAGAGGGGCCAGCATTGACCTCCCCTGATATGGCAAATTCCTTGGTCCTGACGGTGCCAGACCAGGGAGGTTGAACCTGTACTTAGAATGATAAATACCATTAAAAAGATACGATGGTTAACAGTCTCTCTGTCTCTCTCTATATATATGTGTACACAGACAGACACCGGGGGGTGGGGGAGGGAGACTAGAAAATATACATGGCATTGCTCAGGTCTTAACTCAAATAAGTTTTGTTTTTCCTTCATTTAAATCATTGCTCTGGGCGGGGGCTGAGAGGTTCAGTATGCAAGTTGCCCCAGGGAGAAAGGATAACCCTCGCCCTCTGTCACCACAACAGCATGGGGCCAGGTGAGAAGCATCTCTTATGGCTGCTGCAGCTGCAGCAGGCATAGCCGGGGAGAGGTGCATTGTCCCCACAACTGGGGGACACACAGACAGACAAACTTTCTTTACACATGCATTTACTATCATACCCAAAATACCTTTACCCATATAAATAGGTTGTAATGCTGAAAAAAAATTGCTTGAAAACATCTTGAACAAGTTGAAAATTATCTTATTGAAGATAATAATAGGGGTGAGGTAGAATAGGTCTAGAGACCCGCCCCTGCTGGAGGCTTTGTGGCCCTGCATAACTCTGTCCCAGAACAGAGCAGTGAGAAGTCCGCCAGCCTGGAAAAGCTGCAGAAGAGCAACCAATACAAGTTGCTGGTGCAGCCATTAAGGGGACAGAAAAAAGGCAAGCAGCGGATTAGAGCTTTGAGTTGCTGTGTGGAGCTTGACAACGGAGGACTGGCTGACTAGATGAACACCAGGACTGTGGCTATCTCGCTGCAGTGAGATCATTAGACACAACTGAGCCCAGAAAAGGGTGCAAAAAGACTGGATGCTGGCTACCTGAATAGAAGAGCAATAGGACCACTGAAACATCAGAGAGGGCAAGCTGAACCACAGGGGACTGAGCATGGAATCTGGCTAGTCCAGGCCAAGGTACCATGGGCCCTACTGGTTTGGCTGCAGACTAAGCCCAGGGAAGGATGCTGAAAAGGACACCAGATGAGGGTACCAAGATGGGCCCTAGCCCAAAGAAAGCAGTGCCTTGAGGGAGAAGCCTTAAAAATATAGCCCCATACCATGGCTGAAAAAGAACTTGGACTATATATCCTGGAGGGGGGGAGAGGGGGAGACTGTGTGTGTTGCTTGGCAGGAGGGCTGAACTGCTGAAGACCAGCCAAGAGAACTGGCCTATGAGTGCTTGTGAGAGGCAGGTGCCAGCTTGATACAAGACCAAAAAAGAAAAGGCTCAACAGCTACCAAGTGAAAGGGAACCCATCCACAGGAGGGGTTTGCCCCATTTGTAAAAGAACTGTGCCTACAGGCACTAGCGGACAATGAAAAGGGGAAACGCTCAATGGATGAGTGCTGATGCTGTTACCATTTTGCAGAACGTTGTTTTTCCTACATCGTTGTGTCAGTCTAGACCAGAGGAAAGAAATCTTATGAAAAACATATTTGTATCAGTTTAAGAACACAGCTACATAAAACATTTATTCTTCATTGTTCTATATACAACAATTAACTTTTATTTCCAACTGGATATACTCCCTTGTTGCTTGTCTTCCATTATGCTTACCATCATTCAACTGGTGTTCCTCTAAACTAAAATCAATGAATATTTGCAACACAACTGATATTGCAAAAGAACTGTTAGAAGCATCATATTATTCAAGAAGATTAGAATTGGCATTCCACTTTGTTGCTGCATTTACACGAATGCATTTGTATAGTTCATACCTGTTGCCACACCACATAAATGCTTTCCAATTCCTACCACAGGAAGCTTTTCTTTCTCAAGAATAGGTATTTTATCTGAAAGAAACAGAACCTGAATTACTGGAGCTGGACACCATTTTCTGGGTAACATCAGTCTAACACACATAACAAACAATAAGTCAGAAAACTCAAGTAAAATTCCTCACTCAACACCTTTTCATTAAAACCCTTCAATTATCCGTATCTTCAAAGGCCAAGATGAAAACAAAATAAAATTATCGACAACTAAAAAGACTATACCTACCATATGTTTAAATTGTATATTTTTCTTCCTTTTCAACAACTTCAAATTGTGCAAAGGGTATAAGTTTCATGTAAAAGGGAATTTTTAAAAACATTCATTGTTAGCTGCTTGGAAATATATCTGTTGTTTCTTACATATTCCATTCTAGTCTGCAAACATTGTGATGTTCCCAGTACAGTAAGAGTCAAAGCTTCTCTTTGTACATTAGTACAAAAGCAGGAAAGTACAAAGCTCTGAAAATACAAGTCGAACCTCCCTGGGGGCGTGAAAGAGAGAGTTTGCCGGACCAGGGGAGGTGTCCGCTGCGACTGGTGAGAGCCAGCTAGCTCCCTGTCTCTCACTCCCTTTATCCCCTTCCCCAGCTGGGCTGTGTGCCCTCCAGCCACCTGCCCCCCGGACCCTGGTTCCCAGGGTCATCTGGGGTTCTCCAGGTCTCCTAGCCCCGTGCTGCTGCGGTTCTCTGGCCCTGAGCTACTGCAGGTTTCTTGGGTCTTTGGCCCCCAACGCCACAATGGTGCAGGCTGCTGGAATTCAATTTCACCATGCTGCTGTGGAAGGCCAGGCTGCTCTGGCCCCCGGCTGGCCCCTGGCTCTGCATTGCCACAGGCAGCAAGGTTTCTTCAGCTCCTGGCCCCATGTTGCTTTGAGCGTCCAAGGTTTCCCGGCCCTGCACTGCTGCGGGCTGCTGGGCTTCTCTGGTCTGGCACCAGTACTTTTATGGGGCTCCAGTCCTGATGCACCCAGCTGGGTTGCTGGACCTCCTACCATTGGGCTCTGGGCTCTCAGGTCCAGGAGAATTTGTGGTCCTGTCGGATGATGGCTGTTGCCAGACCAGAGAGTACTGGTTTTCAGAGGTTGAACCTGTAGTTCTTGCTTACTGTGAGAAGTTCAAGCAATTTTTGGTATGTCTCCTTCGTGAATAAATCAATCAAAACTTAATTTATCCATAACAATTTCCTAATAGAGAGCAAATCAATAATCTGTCAAATACTACAAAAACCCCAGTGCTCCAGAAGACACTGTTCATACATAGCTGGCCAAGTTAATATCCATGTACTCCACTCTGGTAAAGTAATACTCTGTATCTCTAGTTTACCAACATCAGTTGATCTAGTCTCCCAATTATGCTTCACAAATGGGGAACTAAGGGAGAACTTAAAACCATGTTTCCATTAAAATCTTTGGGAGCAGGACTGGGCATCAAGTCTAAAATCATAGTGACAGCCTGTGGCAGAGTTGGTTATAAGTTTCAGGTTTTGATATTCTTAGTCCTGTACTTTAATAAGACCGTTTGTCCTACCCAGGGATAAATACTGTCATGTAACTTTTAGAAAAATCAAGTGAATGTACAGTTCTGAGATAATAAATATAAGAAGTGTATACATACATACCATGTTCCGTTTGTACACCCACTAGCAAACATTCTTGCTTATTGTTTATAAAATGTTATTCTCTGTATTCTTTTGTCCTACATATGCCATTCAACCATTTGTATGACCTGAACATACATGATTTAACTATGAAAATATACCTATAAGGAATTAAGTAAATGTGTAGTACCAAAACAACTACAGTATATTCTACTACTGTGGTACACCAGATGGGAACTGAGGCTACGTCTAAACTACAGGCTTCTTGCGCAAGAAGCTTTTTTTGGAAGAGATCTTCTGAAAAAACTTCTTGCGCAAGAGAGCATCCACATGGCAAAAGCCCATCAAAAAAGCAATGCGCTGTTTCGAAAGATAACGTCCAGACTGCCTGGACGCTATCTTGCATGTAAGCAGTGATTGCTATGGACAGAATGGCCATCAGAGCACCTGTGCTTTTTCCTTTTCCCTCTTCTTCTGAAAAAACTCCCATTTACCTGTCCACACACACCTTTTTGCGAAAGAGCTCTTTCGCAAAAAGTTTTCTAACTCGTAGAATGAGGATTACCAATTGCACAAAAAGCCCTCTGTTTTCGATTTACTGTCGAAAGAATGCACTCATAGTGTGAACATAACTCAAGTTTTGTTGGAAAAACAGCCTTTTTCCCAACAAATCTCTGTAGTCTAGGCATAGCCTGAATCATCCATGGCCCAAAGGATGGATCCAGTTAAGTTTTCACAACATAAAGAAAGGTATGGAGATAAATATTTATTTAAGATTAAATACAAGACCTGAATCATATTGCCAATGTGTAAGAATATATTGGTTAGGATGTGGTAATCACTTTTACCCATTTAACCAATGTAATTTCTATATATCACCATAAACCACCCACTATCTATAAAGTCGAAATATGACTGTTAACGGTACTCTTTTGAATGTGGTATTCCAGAGTCCAAGTGTTGTTTTGAGGATATCTGAGACTTGCCTCACTCAGTCATGATAACTGTTATCAGAATACCGCACAGCTAAAATACACGAGTGAAAACCTCTAACCCTAAAATTGTTAAGGTTTCCTTGTATTTGGTGTTTCTGCCCCCAAAATAAAGTCCTGTAACTTCTAACACTATTTGTACAAATTATCTTGAAAATATATAATCCCCATTTAGTAACTGAAAACAAAAGTACAACATAAAATGACCAAAACATCGAGTAGTAATAGAGAGGTAGCCGTGTTAGTCTGATCTTGGTAAAACAAAAGGAAAAAATATGTAGCACTTTAGAGACTAACAAGATAGTTTATTAGGTGATGAGCTTTCGTGGGCCAGACCCACTTCTTCAGATCATATTCTGTCTGGCCCATGAAAGCTCATCACCTAATAAACTATCTTGTTAGTCTCTAAAGTGCTACATATTTTTCCTTTTGTTTTACCAAAACACTGAGAACAGTCTTCTAAACATTAATATAATTAATCTACCCTAAGTGTAAAATGTTCCTACACTCTGGCACTATACAATCTACATTTTAAGCAACCATCCTATTACTGCTGTTATACAAGCTAAGTAGCAACTTACTTAAACATAAGTGCTGGATATCAACTTGAAGCCTTTCAAATATGTAGTCTCTTTTTCTGTGTTTACCATCTACCTGTGCAAATAAGATATAACATTATTAAGAAGTGTTGGGCATTAAATTACTAAATTACAAGAATGTGTTAAGGTTATTAATTTTCTGAAAACAAAACCAGCCCCTTTCAAATGAATACAAACATGTTCAACATCAGTCAGCAGACATCTTGTACCCCCACTGCGTTACTGACATAATTTATAACTACAATAAGGACCAATTAGACTTTCCAGAGCCTTTTACATACAGAGAGAGAGAGAGAGAGTGTGTGTGTGTATTTCACCTTTTTAAAAAAAGGTAATGAGACTTTCTGAGCAAAGGCCACATTTACCAAGAACAATTCCAAAAATAAGGCTTTGTCAACTCGACAACAGACCATCTTCACCTTGAATCGTGTAGTTGCTCTTTCAACAAGCAGAAAGTGAACATTTTCAGCATCTTGTACAGCAATATCAACCCAGTGAGACAGCTTTCCTCGTCCAGCTCCAAACTCAATAAAACATCTTCCTGGCCCAAGCAAATGTAATTTTTCCATGTAACCTAAAATAGAAGCCTACAAACTTCAAAAGATTATTTATGAACCAAGAAAAAGATACACTCTGATTACTTCTGTGGGAAAAATGCTAACTTAACTCTCAGTCACCAGCCTCTCCCATAGCTCTTATTGATTAAATAACCATGCTGCAGTATGGCAACATCTCTTTCATTAATGCAGGGGTAAAGATGTTGTGGATCCAGAGTGCAGGGGAAATAAGACATTATTTTCCTTCTTCTAACACCCACAGAATCTTATCCACTGGCTTTTGGAGGTAAAGTTAGGAACCAGGTGTACATTGGAGTATTGTTCTCAAAAAATCATGGCAAAAGTCACATGGATGTTCCACTGGACTTTCGTGAAGCATCCCCTCCTACAAAGCCTTCTCTTTAGCTATTGCAGTTGTATGCATTATAGAAAGGAGCAGAAGGGTACCAAGAGAGCAGTGCTTAGAGCATTAACCTAGCACTGGAGAGACCTAGGGTTCAATTTCTGCTCTGCCAGTAGGCAAGTTACTTAGCTTCTTTGCATTTCAGTCCTTCACCTACAAAATGGGAATAACAGTACTTCCCTATCTCACAAGAGTGTTGTGAGGATATATTAATTAAAAAAGATGAAGCATATTGAGATCAAGTGATTGAAGCACTATATAGAAGAGATAGTAATTATTATTATTCTCATGGACCCTTCTGTCTTAGTCATTCTCTGGTTTCCCTTTCCCAAGAATTTCAAGGGTTTCCTGTGTTGGAAGTCTGCACCCTCCACTCAATCTGTGCCCTATAAAAATCCTCCTACTTAGGAGCACAATTCCCTGAAAATACCATAAGGCAAATCTCAAGAGCTTTTTACCCTCTCTCAGGGGAGGGGATCATCTAGTCCAGTGGTCCCCAACCTTTTGGGGCTGCCAGGCACCCGGGGGCAGGGCTGCTCATGCGCCGCGTGCCCGGAGCTGCGCACGCGCCACGCGCCCGGCACCACACATGCACCGCACGCTCGGGGCCCAGGGGGCAAGAATGGCTTGGGCTGGCCCTGGTCACTCGGTGGGCGCACATAAATGCCCCGGCAAGGGCCATGGCGCTCGTGGGCATTGCAATGGGGACCACTGAGCAGTCTCATGAATGAGAGGGTAAGCTTGTTAGGGTTAGGGTAATCTACAATGTCAAAGCACTTATGGATAAAATAGGTGGTTGATACAGTGTAATTCCAGTTAACTAGGATTTTGAATAAAGGGAATTCATACAGTGTGTTCTCCATGTAGCCCTACGTTACTTAATAGCATGTCTGTTTATTTGAATTCCAGTTTATCTAAAACATTCTAATGCCCCCCCAGCCATCTGGATAAACAGGAGTACACTAATACTTAAACTGGTTGCAGTGGGTACAGTCTGCAACTATAAAACTTCCTTAACATGAAATAACTGATAGTATGGATCAGTGGAATCCATAAGAAAACTACAGTAAAGACAACCACAGCTATTAGTAAAGCAATGCCCATACCTGTTGCTTCAAGTGCTTGAAAGCAGACTCTCCATTCTTAGGGTCATTTAAGGCTTCTTGTAAGGCCTGATGGGACAACATTTGATCCTTAAGAATTGGCTTTATACCTGCATCAAATGCAAAAGCACTCTTTATAGGTTCAATTAAAAAGGCTAATTAATATTAATCTGGCTCTCACCTGCATATTGCTATGACTGCAACACAGTACTTAGTATGCAGATTATTTGATTGTCTATAGACTGAACAATAAACAATAAAAGTGAAAGAAATACTATCAAATAGTTTAGGTCCACAAAATGACACCTCAAAATTATGATCTTTTATTTTAATCCAAAATGTGAAAATTTCCCTATCTTCTGCCACCAACAAAATAACCTACAACATAAGCATTGGTCCCTGTAAGCTTATGCAATTACTCAGGAAAGATTCAAATGCTGCCCAGCTGATTATCAGAGCGCCTACAGCTAGGTTTTCTGTTTCTAATGGTGGTGCACATTCACACATAAAAATGTGTGAAAAAAATTATTAAAGATTGCACATAACATTTCTCCCACACATGGATGAAAAAGATTAGACAAACATTGAACACAAGCATGACTGCTCTCTAATGGTTCAGAAACAACAGTTTACTAATAAATGCTTTTCCCAGAGCTCTGCTGTCATCATCCAATAATGGTGCACACAGATGAACATAAACAAAAGTAATAAATTTAATTCAAAATTAATTCTTACTCAAGAAAACAAATAAGACTGACATGGGGAAAAAATACTAGCTAACAGTGTCATCTAGGCAGTTCTTCAACCATTACAAGATTTCAATTTCAGATCATGTGAAGTGACAAAAATATGCACTATTATTAATCTCTCCTCTTTTTTAATCCTAGAAGATATTTAACATTCCAAATAGCCATGAAATATTGATCAGTTCTGGCGAGAGCAATTTAAAATATTTTAAAATTAAGCAGACTCACCTTTACTTGCTTTTTTCAGCTTTCTAATTAAGTCCTCTAATTCTTCTTTAGATAGGGAAGAAATTGGTAACTGCTGGAAAAAAAATACAGAAAACAGAAAGGCTCTCCTTTTATTTTATCTATTTGTTCCTTAAAATAACAGAGAAATTGACTTACCTGTTCTTCAGGTACTTCCGTTGCATCTGTTAATCCTGCATTAATATCTTGAACAAAGTAGGCCTTAGTAAAAAAACACCAAAAAACCACACAGCATGAAAACCAAAGAAAGACAGAACAGCATGTAAAGCAAAAGAAAGTGCTTCATAGTGTGTTTACAGAAATTCACCTAGGAGAAGTCAAATCATTACAAATGAAGAAACTATGTCTGAGAAAAGATGATCTCTCTGATTGTTTTAGGACCCAACTGTGCAAGCACTCTCCAGTATGTGCAGTGCTTACTAACATGACTAGCCTGACAGATTTCAGTGTGACTAAGCCCCATAGCAAGCACTACACTAGTAATGCTTTTGCAAGGAAGAGTCCTGTCAGCTGCTAGCATTTTCTTTGTATCTTATTTGTACTATAAAAATCAGTAATCAAAGGAATTTCTCTTTTCAAGCAGTTGTTCTTTAAGCTTCTTGATTATTGCCATTTCATATATACAAGCATATTTTATGCTTTATATTTAGGGAGGTAAGTGAGTAGTCGATAAGCCTAAACTTATCAGGTAGTTGACTTGGCTACTTGCTCCCTGCCCTTTGCTGCCTCTGTATCAGAGGCAGCAAGGGGAGGAGCCAGCTTAAAAGCTGGTTCCCCCACCGCTGGCACTGCAAAGACGGATGAGAGGACAGGGGCAGGGCAGGCTGCGGCGAAGTAGTCCCTGTCTTCAGTGGCCCAGGCTGCCCCTGCAGCAGCCTC